GCCTCCTGGGTTCAGGCAATTCTGCCTCAGCCTCCTGAGTAGCTGGGATTACAGGCACGCACCACCATGCCCAGCTGAATTTTTGTATTTTTAGTAGAGACGGGGTTTCACCATGTTGACCAGGATGGTCTCGATCTCTTGACCTCGTGATCCACCCGCCTTGGCCTCCCAAAGTGCTGGGATTACAGGCGTGAGCCACCGCGCCCGGCCTTTTTTTTTTTTAACTTTCCCTTCTCCTTTTCTCTTACTCATTGCCTAGATCTTTTCTATGATTCACTAAATCATAATTCACTCTTCAAAATTTCTTCTTCAGTTCCATTCTAACTACTCCCAATGCCATCATTCAGATATTCTGGGTCCTTCAGCTGACATGCAAAATTACAGCAGCACAGAAGCGTAACATCTTTGAGTTGGCAGGGACTTTACATATCATTTATTCCAACCTCACCATTTTATTTATTTTTTTTCCAATTTTTTTAAATTGCATTTTAGGTTTTGGGGTACATGTGAAGAACATGCAAGATTGTTGCATAGGTACACACATGGCAGTGTCATGTGCTGCCTTCCTCCCCATCACCAATATCTGGCATTTCTCCCCATGCTATCCCCACCCCCTGCTGTCCCTCCCCTATTTCCCCCCTACAGACCCCAGTGTGTGATGCTCCCCCCCCTGTTTTTTTTTTTTTTTTTTTTTTTTTTTTTTTTTTTGGAGACAGAGTCTTGCTCTGTCACCCAGGCTGGAGTGCAGTGGCACCATCTTGGCTCACTGCAACCTCTGCCTCCTGGGTTCAATGAGTTCTCCTGCCTCAGCCTCCCAAGTAGCTGGTTCTACAGGTGCCTGCCAACACACCCAGCTAATTTTTGTATTTTTAGTGGAGGTGGGGTTTCACCATATTTTATTTTATTTATTTATTTTTTATTTTTTTAGAGATGGGGTCTCTCTGTGTTGCCCAGGCTAGAATACAGTGGCTTTTCACAGTAGCGAGATCCCACTACTGATCAGCCCGGGAGTTTTGACCTGCTGTGTTTCTGACCTGGGCCAGTTCACCCCTTCTTAGGCTACCTGGTGGTCCCCCGCTCACGGGAGGTCACCATATTGATGTTGAACTTAGTGCGGACACCTGATCAGCATAGCGCACTACAGCCGAGAACTCCTGGACCCAAGCAGTCCTCCCACTCAGCCTCCCAAGTAGCTGGGACTACAGGCACGTGCCACTGCACCCAGCGGTTTCACCATATTGTCCAGGCTGGCCTTGAACTCTTGACCTCCAGTGTTCTGCCTGCCTTGGCCTCCCAAAGTGCTAGGATTACAGGCATGAGCTACCACACCTGGCCTGACCATGTCTCTCTCTCTTTTTTTTTTTTTTTTTAAGACTGAGTTTTGCTATTGTTGCCCAAGCTGGAGTGCAATGGCACAATCTTGGCTCACTGCAACTTCTGCCTCCCAGGTTCAAGCGTTACTCCCACCTCAGCCTCCCAAGTAGCTGGGATTACAGGCATGCACCACCATGCCCAGCTATTTTTTAGTAGAAACAGGGTTTTACCATGTTAGCCAGGCTGGTCTCAAACTCCTGACTTAGGTGATCTGCCTGCCTTGGCCTCCCAAAGTGTTGGGCCACCAGTTCCTGGCCAACCCTGTCTCTTTTAATTTATTTATTTATTTTTTATTTTTTTATTGCATTTTAGGTTTTGGGGTACATGTGAAGAACATGCAAGATTGTTGCCTAGGTACACATATGGCAGTGTGATTTGCTGCCTTCCTCCCCTTCACCTATATCTGGCGTTTCTCCCCATGCTATCTCTCCCCAACTCCCCACCCCCCACCGTCCCTCCCCTATATCCCCCCAACTGACCCCAGTGTGTAGTGCTCCCTTCCCTGTGTCCATGTGTTCTCATTGTTCAACACTCGCCTATGAGTGAGAACATGCAGTGTTTGATTTTCTGCTCTTGTGTCAGTTTGCTGAGAATGATGGTTTCCAACCCTGTCTCTTAAATAAATATTCAGCTGGGCTCGGTCGTTCATGCCTGTAATCCCACCACTTTGGGAAGCCAAGGCAGGCAGATCAACTGAGGTTGGCAGTTTGAGATCAGTCTGATCAATAGGGAGAAACCCCATCTCTACTAAAAAAGTACAAAACTAGCAGGGTGGGATGGTGCATGCCTGTAATCCCAGCTACTTGGGAGGCTGAGGTGGGAGAATCGCTTGAATCCAGGAGGCAGAGGTTGCCGTGGGCCAGGATCCAGCCATTGCACTCCAGCTTGGGCAGCAAGAGTGAAACTCCATCTCAAATAATAAATAGTCAGCTGTCCTGACTTTAGATCATACTTTAGCACATACCAGCTATGTGATTTGGTTTTCTTGAGACCAGTCTCACACTGTCGCTCAGGCTGTAGTATGTAGTACAGTGGCACGATCTCGGCTCACTGCAGTCTCCGCCTCCTGGGTTCAAGCAGTTCTCCTGCCTCAGCCTCCTGAGTAGCTGGGACTACAGGGTGCGCCGCCATGCCCAGCTAATTTTTTTGTAGTTGTAGTAGAGACGGGGTTTCACCATGTTGGCCAGGATGGTCTCTATCTCCTGACCTCCTGATCTGCCCCCCTTGGCCTACCAAAGTGCTGGGATTACAGGCATGAGCCACTGCGCCCGGCCTACATTTAAATTTTTATGATTGTCCCCACAATATTGATAGTTTTTTTCGTTTATTAGTGAATTATGATCCAATCTAGGAACCTGGATAACATTTAGTTCTGTCTGAATCTCTTAATGTACAAAAGCCAACCTCTTTCTTTTCTCATATTGTTTAATTTTTTAAGGAGGTAAGACTAGTTGTCCTTATATAAGATCCTACATTCTGGATTCATTTGTTTTACTTGTGTTTTACATAGTCTATCCATAAAATTTCCTGGAAACTGGATATTATATTTAAAGGCTTGATGAGATTACATAAAACAAGTTTGGCAAGAGTACTTCACTCATGATAAAATGCATAAATAAATGTTTACTAAATGAGTCTGGGGCCAGATGCCGTGGCTCAGGCCTGTAATCCCAGCACTTTGGGAGGTGGAGGTGGGTGGATTACTTGAGGTCAGGAGTTCAAGACCAGCCTGACCAACATGGCAAAACCCTGTCTCTACTAAAAATAGGAAAATTAACCAGGCATGGTGGTGGGCACCTGTAATTTCAGCTGTTCAGGGGGCTGAGGCAGGATAATTGCTTGAACCTGAGAGTCAGAGGTTATAGTGAGCCGAGATCCAGCCAAGATCTATCTCATAATTAATTAATTAATTAAGATCAATGAATCTTGGATTGGGCCAGATTGGCAGTCCTTATATTCAGATTTGTAAATTAGGTCTGAGCTGGGTTTTGGAGGGAACAAAGACAGTGTTGACTCAGATTGGAAAACCATTTGTTTCTCCCTTCAAGGCTAACACTCATCTTGAGTCTTTTTATTTTCTTTTTTGTTTGAGGTAGAGTCTCAAACCAGCCTGTTGTCCAGGCTGGAGTGCAGTGTGGTGTGATCTCGGTTCACTGCAACCTCCACCTCCTGGTTACAGTCTCCCAAGAAAGCTGGGACTGTCCCACAGTGTTGGGATTATAGGTGTGAGCCATCGCGCCCACCCTCATTTTGAGTCATTTTATCTTTAACCCTTTTCTTTCTCTGTTTGCTTTTTTTCCAGGATCCCAGCTGGCTACTGCTTTGTAGAATTCGCAGATTTGGCCACAGCTGAGAAGTGTTTGCATAAAATTAATGGGAAACCCCTTCCAGGAGCCACACCTGTAAGGACATGTAGATAATGATGATGTTACCATTATTATTGTTATTGCTTACGACAATCTCTTGAATCCCTACTGTATACTTATTTTACGTAATCCTTTTATTTAATCCTGTAACAACCCCGTACAGTAGGCATTGTTATCTTTGTAGGCCCAGGGAAGTGAAATAACTTGCCCAAGGCAACACAGGTAGTAAGTGGCAGAGCCAGGATTCAGACAGAAGACTGGTTGCTTCTTAAATCCATGCCCTTCCCATTCTGCATTGCTGCCTCCCATAACAGAAGACTCGAAACTCTAGACCTCTTGCCTGATTGAGAAACTAGAACAGGCTGGCAGCAGCAAGGACACATTTCAAGAGAGTTGCATTCTGCTCTTCCCACAGTTACTTAGCTTACAGCTGCACCAGCTGGCACACCTGGGCTCATAGAACCATGGAGCTGGCAGTGCCCTTAGCGGTCATCCGTGCAACCCCCTCATTTTATACAGGAGAAAAAGCTGAGGCTTAGAGAGGGGGAGATGTTTTGGCCAAGGTAATTTATTTCAGTTTTTTTCAAATATTGTTCAACTCTTGAAACACCTTTCTCTGTTTTAGTTCGTTTATTTTTAAATTTCCAGGCGAAACGTTTTAAACTCAACTATGCCACTTATGGGAAACAACCAGATAACAGGTAGGTACAAAGTCGTGTCTAGAGATAAGATGTGTCCCTATGCCAGTTACCGCCATATAGGAGGAGGGGAACCTGCTTGGCTGCACTTTGTCCCCTGGTGAGGGGCACCGCCTTTCTCACTTCCCTGCTCTGGTGGACCTTCCTGGTGTGCTTCATGCAAGGCCATGGCTTTTCTGTATTTGGTCCCTATCCCTGGCCTCCCCCGCTGCTACTCCTCAGAGTATTGAAGTTTTATTCAATAAGAATTGGTCTGTTATCCAGGTCCAGTGGCTCCCACCTATAATCCCAGCACTTTGGGAGGCAGAAGCAGACAGATTGCTGAGCCTAGGAGTTCAGGAATAGCCTGGGCAACATGGCAAAATCCTTTCTCTACAAAAAAATATAAAAATTAGCCGGATGTGGTGGCATGTACCTGTACTTCCAGCTACTCAGGAGGCTGAGGCAGGAGGATCACCTGAGCCTGGGGAGGGCTACAATGATCATGGCTACAGTGAGCCATGATTGTGCCACTGCACTCCAGCCTGGGCAATAGAGTGAGACCCTGTCTCAAGAGAAAAAACAAAGAGGCCGGGCGTGGTGGCTCACGATTGTAGTCCCAGCACTTTGGGAGGCCGAGGTGGGTGGATCACTTGAGGCTGAGAGTTTGAGACCAGCCTGGCCAACTTGGCAAACCCCGTCTCTACTAAAAATACAAAAAAAAATTAGCCAGGCATGGTGGTGGGCGCCTGTAATCCCAGCTACTCGGAAGGCTGAGGCAGGAGAATCACTTGAACCCAGGAGGCAGAAGTTGCAGTGAATGGAGATCGCACCACTGCACTCCAGCATGGACGACAAGAGTGAAACTGTCTCAAAACCCAAAGAATTGACCTGTTAGAGCAACATAAATTGGCATTTCAGGTTGCCATTTGAAAGCTTTAAAACTGTACCAAAAGCTTTAAAAATGTTTATATGCATTGACCCTATAATTCTGCTTTTCAGGATTTATTCATGGATGTATGCAAAGATTAGCCTCAGATGTGTTCATTGAAGTATTGTGTATAACGGGTAAAGTTGGGGAAAACCCAAATAACCTAATAGTAGAAGTGATTAAATTATGGTCATTAGTTAGGATGCTATGTATCACTAACAAGTTATGTTGCAGTATCCTGACATGTCAAGATGTTGGCAATATGTCGAAACTGAAAAAAAATACTATCAACAAAATAGGATGGATTGTGTTTATGAACATTTAGAAGAAAAGCCATAAGAAGACAAAAGTATATATATCAAAGCATTTTGGTGATTATCTTCAAGTGGTTTGTTATAGCAATTTTATTTTTCTTTGTGATTTTGTATATTCTTTTTTTTTGGAGACAGAGTTTCGCTCCTGTTGCCCAGGCTGGAGTGCAATGGCATGATCTTGGCTCACTGCAACCTCTGCCTCCCAGGTTCAAGTGATTCTCCTGCCTCAGCCTCCTGAGTAACTGGGATTATAGGCATACACCACAATGCCTGGCTAATTTTGTATTTTTAGTAGAGATGGGGGTTTCTCCATGTTGGTCAGGCTGTTGTTGAACTACCGACCTCAGGTGATCCATCCGCCTTGGCCTCCCAAAGTGCTGGGATTACAGGCATGAGCCACTGTGCCTGGCTCTTTTGTGTATTCTTGATATACAAGGAATGTGTAGCATACTTGAAATAAAATAACAAAGGTAGGCTGGGTGTGGTGGCTAATGCCTGTAATCCCATCACTTTGGGAGGCTGAGGCAGATGAATCACAAGGTCAGGAGTTGGAGACCAGCCTGGCCAACATGGTAAAACCCTACCTCTACAAAAAAAATACAAAAAATTAGCTGGGCATGGTGGCACGTGCCTATAGTTCAGCTATTTGGGAAGCTGAGGCAAGAGAATCACTTGAACGCAGGAGGTGGAGGTTGCAGTGAGCTGCAGTCATGCTGCTGCACTCCAGCCTGGGTGACAGAGCGAGACTCCACGTCAACAACAAGAAAATAACAAAGATTTGTGTGTTCATTTATTTTTTGAATAGAATTGCCCTCCTATAGCAGGAGTTGACAAACTTTGGCCCGATTTGTATCACCCACAAGCTCACGGTGGTTTTTAAGAAAGGTTGGTCATGGTGGATCACACCTCTAATCCCAGCACTTTGGGAGGCTGAGGCAGGTGGATCACCTGAGATCAGGTGTTCAAGATGAACCTGGCCAACTTGGCAAAGCCCCTACTCTAATAAAAATACAAAAAATTAGCTGGACATGGAGGTGCGTGCCTGTAATTCCAGCTACTTGGGAGGTTGGCAAAGCCCCTACTCTAATAAAAATACAAAAAATTAGCTGGACATGGAGGTGCGTGCCTGTAATTCCAGCTACTTGGGAGGTTGAGGCAGGAGAATTGCTCGAACCTGGAAGGCAGAGGCAGTGAGCTGAGATCGCACCATTGCACTCCAGTCTGGACAACAAGAGCAAAACTCTGCCTCAAAAAAAAAAGAAAAAAAAAGATTGGGGACTTATTTTTTTTGCTAGGCTTTATGTCCTTTGGAGCAAAGATCTAGTTCTTTTTTTCTGTCTTTTAACATTGATGTTTAAAATATACAAGGAATGCATAATGCATTTTTATGAGGCTTATCTTTTGAGTGCCTCAGAGATGCACTTCTGACCCCATCCCCGAATCTGCACTCATGTAATACCCGGAGTCAGACGAGTTCTGTGTAGTGGGTGAGGGACTGGGGGCAGGCACTGCTTCCATAACTCTTCTGCCAGAACTGCTATAATGAAACAAGTAGGCCCTGGTTAGGTAGAGTCATCATATGTGTTCCTTAAGGAGCCTGGGAAAACTTTACCTGGAATATATGAAAGAGCTCTTCAGAGCAGATATTTCGGTCTTTGCCTCTGAATCTTCTTGTTCTCTCTCCTCAGCCCTGAGTATTCCCTCTTTGTGGGGGACCTGACCCCAGATGTGGATGATGGCATGCTGTATGAATTCTTCGTCAAAGTCTATCCCTCCTGTCGGGGAGGCAAGGTGGTTTTGGACCAGACAGGCGTGTCTAAGTAAGACCTTAACTGTTACTGATGCTTACTGTGTTAGTTTCAGCATTCTGTCCTGAGTAGAGATGTTTTATTTATTTATTTTTTTTTTGGAGACGGAGTTTTCGCTCTTGTTACCCAGGCTGGAGTGCAATGGCGCGATCTCGGCTCGCCGCAACCTCCGCCTCCTGGGTTCAGGCAATTCTCCTGCCTCAGCCTCCTGAGTAGCTGGGACTACAGGCACGCACCACCACGCCCAGCTAATGTTTTGTAGTTTTAGTAGAGACGGGGTTTCACCATGTTGACCAGGATGGTCTCGATCTCTTGACCTCGTGATCCACCCGCCTCAGCCTCCCAAAGTGCTGGGATTACAGGCTTGAGCCACCGCGCCCAGCAGTAGAGATGTTTTAGAAAGGCCATGTAGCATAGCGATTAAGACCACAAGCTCTGGAGCTAAACTGCCTGGTTCGAATCCCAGCTCCAATACTGGTGAGGGAGAATGCCAGTATTGTAACTTTTAAGACAAGTTACTGGCGCCTCCGTGACCCTTACAGCCACATCTGTAAAATGGAGCTGATTAATAGTAGCTGCCTGTAGGGTTGATTTAAGGATTAAAGGATACAATATAAATAAGTCACATTTGAAATGCTTCATAGGTGTTTACTGTTTTGCCTATTATTATTACTGAGCCTTTCAGTGTAGTTAGAAGTTTTCCACTTCAGGCCGGGTGCAGTGGCTCACACCTGTAATCCTAGCACTTTGAGAGTCCAAGGCCGGCGGATTACATGAGCTCAGGAGTTCCAGACCAGCCTAGGGAACATGGTGAAACCCTGTGTCTACTAAAATGCAAAAAATTAGCCGGGCATGGTGGCATGCACCTGTAGTTTCAGCTACTCAGGAGGCTGAGGTAGGAGAATTGCTTGAATCCGGAAGGTATGGGTTGCAGTGAGTCGAGATTGCACCACTGCACTCCAGCCTTGCTGACGGAGCGAGACTCTGTCTCCATAAAAAAAAAAAAGAAAAAGAGTTTTCCACTTCAAAATTAGAAAAACCAGGGTGGGCATGGTGGCTCACACCTTTAATGCCAGCACTTTGGGAGGCTGAGGCAGGTGAATCACCTGAGGTCAGGAGTTTGAGACCAGCCTGGCCAACATCAAAACCCCATCTCTACTAAAAAAATACAAACATTGACTGGGTACAGTGGCTCAACGCCTGTAATCCCAGCACTTTGGGAGGCTGAGGTGGGTGGATCACCTGAGGTCGGGAGTTCAAGAACAGCCTGAGCAACACAGAGAAACCCTGGCTCTACTAAAAATACAAAAAATTAGCCTGGCATGGTGGTGCATGCCTGTAGTCCCAGCTACTCGGGAGGCTGAGGCAGGAGAATTGCTTGAATCCAGAAGGAGGAGGTTGCAGTGAGCCAAGATTGCCCACTGCACTCTAGTCTGGGGGACAGAGTAAGACTCTGTCTCAGAAAAAAAAAAGAAAGAAAAGAAAATGCTTAGTACAGTGCAAGGGAAATAAGTATTCATTAAATGTTAGCTAGCATTAATTTTATCCCCCTGCTAGAATTTGAGCTCAGGAGAGTGGGAATCTTGTCCTTCTGTGACTGCTGCATCTTGTGCATAGTGCAGTGCCTGGCATACAGGGCAGACTCTGTAAATATTTGCTGAATAATATTCTAATAGTTACTGTCCAGCAGAGTGTGGGAGAAACTCCTATTTGGGAATGTTCCTCAGGGGTAAAGGTGTCGAGAAGGATGGTGAACTGAATGTGGGAATTCCCGTAGATCTCAGAATCCTCTGTGCTTGAATCCTGACACTATGTAGACACCTGTTGATGGGACTCTCCTCCCTTCCTTTTTTTTTTTTTTTTTTTAAATAAAGATGGGGTTTCACCATGATGGCCAGGCTGGTCTTGAACTCCTGACCTCAGGTGATCCACCCATCGGCCTCCCAAAGTGCTAGGATTATAGGCATGAGCCACCGCGCCCGGCCACTTCCTACATATATATATATATTTTTTTTCACATACTCTGACCTTCCTTTAGTTTAATGGACTCTCTCTCTCTCTCTCTCCTCAGCCTCTTTTCCTTTCTGCATTCCTGTCTACCTTCTTATCCTTCTTCTTTTTCATGTTTCCATTCTTAGACTTTCATCACATTTGTGATCTAAATTGTATATTGTTTGTTTTTCATGCAGGGGTTATGGTTTTGTGAAATTCACAGATGAACTGGAACAGAAACGAGCCCTGACGGAGTGCCAGGGAGCAGTGGGACTGGGGTCTAAACCTGTGCGGCTGAGCGTGGCAATCCCTAAAGCGTGAGTCTTGTAGGGAAGGTAGACTGTAGACTCCCCTCCAGACACTCTTTTGTTTGCTGAGAATCAGGGCATCCATATGCTGGATAGGAGGCTGAAGCGGGATCCAATTCAAGTCGTAACTAATGAATGCCTGCTGTTTGCCAGGCTGTGAGTACTAAAGATGAACTAGCCCCACTCCTGCAGAAGCTGATAGTCGGGATAGAGTATGATTTGGAAAGGCTGATACATTCAGATGTTGCTGGTGGCAGCATTGGAAAAGCTGTTTGGCTGTTCATACCTGATGTCCCTGCTCTTTGCTCAGTAGTCCCACTATTGGGAACTTATTCATGTAATTAATAACATTTGAGCAAAAGGAAAAAATTACTTCCAGTTGTAGCCTTATTTAATGAAAACTACAACCCTCCTATGAGTGTACCATGCTGTGGGAATGGATAATAATTAATATTACAGACACTTGGCCAGCAGCAATGGCTCACAGCTGTAATTGCAGCACTGGGAGGCCAAGGTTGGTGGATCACCTGAGGTCAGGAATTTGAGACCAGCCAGGCCAACATGTGAAACCCCGTCTCTACTAAAAATACAAAAATTAGCCGGGCATGGTGGTGCATGTCTGTAGTCCCCACAGCTCGGGAGACTGAGGCAGCAGAATCACTTGAACCCGGGTGGCAGAGGTTGCAGTGAGCCAAGACAGCGCCAGTGCACTCTAGCCTGGACAACAGAGCGAGACTCTGGCCCAATTAAAAAAAAAATATTCCAGGCCGGGCGCGGTGGCTCAAGCCTGTAATCCCAGCACTTTGGGAGGCCGAGGCGGGTGGATCACGAGGTCAAGAGATCGAGACCATCCTGGTCAACACAGTGAAACACCGTCTCTACTAAAAATACAAAAACGTTAGCTGGGCATGGTGGTGCGTGCCTGTAATCCCAGCTACTCAGGAGGCTGAGGCAGGAGAATTGCCTGAACCCAGGAGGCGGAGGTTGCAGTGAGCCGAGATCGCGCCATTGCACTCCAGCCTGGGTAACAAGAGTGAAACTCCGTCTCAAAAAAAAAAAAAAAAAAAAAAAATATTCCAGACACTCTACAGAACATTATATACTTCACAACATACCTGTCATGCTAGGTAGAAAAACTTTTTCCCTTATAGCTCCAAACTTTTCTCTGAATAGGATTTTTTGTTTGTTTGTTTTTACCCTGAGCAGGGTCTCAAACTCAGCCAGCCTGGAGATCATGGCTCACTGCAGCCTTGCCCTCCCTGGGCTCAGGTTATCCTCGCATCTCAGCCTTCTGATTAGCTGAGACTATAGGTGCACACCACTGTGCTTAGCAAATTTTTGTATTTTTTGTAGAGATAGGGTCTTGCTTTATTGTCCAGGCTGGTCTTGAATTCCCGGGTTCAAGCAGTCTGTCCACCTCGGCCTCCCAAAGTGTTGGCATTATAGGCATAAGCCACTGTGCCTGGCTGGATCTTTTATTCTTTAGCCAAATTAATTATTCTCAACTAGAGTGATTTTGCCTCCCAGGGGACATTGACAGCATCTGGAGACATTTTTGGTTATCACAACCAAGGGTGTACTAATGGCACCTAGTGAGTTAGTGGGTTATCAGCCAAGGATGCTACTAAATATCCTGTAATTCACAGCCTCCCACCACCTTATGACGTATGTCAATAGATCTAGGCCGAGAGACGCCGAACCAAACTCTACTCTAAGAGTAGCTGAACTCTTAGGATAGAATTTCCAAATGCAAATGGCCATGGGTTTTTTTTTGTTTTTTTTTTTTTTTTTGAGATGTAGTTTCGCTCTGTTGCCCGGGCTGGAGTGCAGTGGCGCTCAAACTCAGCTCACTGCAGCCTCCACCTCCTGGGTTAAAGTGATTCTCCTGCCTCAGCCTCTGAGTAGCTGTCACTACAGGTATGTGCCACCATGCCCAGCTAATTTTTATATTTTTAGTAGAGACAGGGTTTCACATGTTGACCAGGCTAGTCTTGAACTGCTTATCTGAGGTGATCTGCCTGCCTCAGCCTCCCAAAGTGCTGGTGGCTTATAGGCATAAGCCACCATGCCCTGCCAAATGGCCATGTTTTTTAAAAGTAATGATTTCAGAGTTTTTTTGTGGTTTAACTGTGTATAATACATTGAAGATCAGGCTTAGTGACTTCTCCCAAAAATATTTATTTGTTGTAAATTATTACATTAAAACATTAAATTAGCTGGGCTTGGTGTGCTCCTTCCCAGCTACTTGGAAGGCTGACGTGGTAGAATTTATTGAGCCCGGCCGGGCGCGGTGGCTCAAGCCTGTAATCACAGCACTTTGGGAGGCCGAGGCGGGTGGATCACGAGGTCAAGAGATCGAGACCATCCTGGTCAACATGGTGAAACCCCGTCTCTACTAAAAATACAAAAAATTAGTTGGGCATGGTGGCACGTGCCTGTAATCCCAGCTACTCAGGAGGCTGAGGCAGGAGAATTGCCTGAACCCAGGAGGCGGAGGTTGCGGTGAGCCGAGATCGCGCCATTGCACTCCAGCCTGGGTAACAAGAGCGAAACTCCGTCTCAAAAAAAAAAAAAAAAAAAAAGAATTTATTGAGCCCAGGAGTTCAAGGCTACAGTGAGCTATGATCACTCCACTGCACTCCAGCCCAGGCAACAGAGTGAGACCCTCTCTCTTAAAAAACAAAAGGCGAAAATAAAAAGTGGGGTGCTGTGGCTCGAGTCTGTAATCCCAGCACTTTGGGAGGCTGAGGCAGGTGGATCACTTAAGACCAAAAGTTCAAGACCAGCCTGGCCAACATGGTGAAAAACCCCATCTCTACTAAAAGTACAAAAATTATCCAGGCCTCCCAGGATCAAGCGATTCTCCTGCTTTAGCCTCCCGAGTGGCTGGGATTACAGGGGTGAGCTACCATGCCTGTCCATTTTTTTTTTTTCTTTTTTGAGACAGAGTTTGACTCTTGTTTCCCAGGCTGGAGTCCAGTGGTGCAATCTCAGCTCACAGCAACCTCTGCCTCCCAGGTTCAAGTGGTTTTCCTGCCTCAGGCTCCCAGGTTCAAGCTGTTCTCCTGCCTCAGCCTCCGGAGTAGCTGGGATTACAGGTGCCTA